AAGCCTACTAAACTCAGGTTTTACTAAATGCATGCTGCATGCTATGCTGGTATAATTTTGGCAGTAGTGAAGCATGATCTGATGTGTCAGATATTGCGCGTAAAAATAAAATAAAAATGTAACAGAATCTGCGTCATGATATGATGGAAAAATACTGCCAAAATGAGGTACGGCAAGTCAGCATAGGAAGGGAAAAATTTAAACATTGAGTGTTGGCATGGTATGTCTGTGGAGTTGGCTTTATCGACTGATAAGATAAGATGAGCATCGGGAGATGGCAGTGGTAGCGCGAGGAGCATTGGTATCGGCATGAACATTGGTAGCGCGGGGTTCGCGCGTCAGAGGTTACAGAGAGTCGAAGGAGACAAGAGAGCAACACACGAGGCTAGCGAAAAATTAATTGACGAGAGAGGGAGCCGCTTGTATCCATACCATAATAAACAGATATTTATTTCAACCAAACAACAAGGTATAGACTATCCTGCTTTAATTCTTTAACTAAGCCATATCCACTCTCAAATTGGTAGCAGAGCGTGGTTGAGCTCATTTTTTCTAAGCGACGATCGAGACGACAGATACAAACGGATTGAGACGAAGAAGCCGTTTTTCCCAAGATGGCCGAGAACTGGAATCTCTCTAACGTAGAGCCACTGGACGATACCAACTATTTTTTGTGGAGTGAAAAAATAGAAGGTGTATTGAGAACCAAAAAGCTTTGGAAGAAAGTGATAGGTACAAAACCGCCCGAAAAACCTGAAGAAGACGATGCCGAGTACGCTGCTAAATTTAAAGTGTGGAATGAGTGGGACGATAACAATTATGCTGCAAGAACAGTGATAATCAACACGATGAGCAAGGCACAATTATTAAAATATAGCCACGAGAAGAACGCAGATAAATTGTGGAGTTTAATTAAAAATAATATAGCAGCTGAGACGGAACAGTTAAGAGCCAGATCACTGGGTGAGTTAACAAACCTACGGACGAATAAAGAGGAAAGTGTAGATGCATTTGTGAACAGAACTGAAGCTTTGAAAAATCAATGTGTGCAGTTAGGTAAAAACATAGAAGATTATGAGCTGAGAATGTATATAATTAGAGGTCTAAGAGCGGAATTTGATCAAAATGTACATGTTTTGGAAACTCAAAAGGAACTGACTGTGAACGATATCCGATATGCATTAAAGCAAGAGGAGATGCGAAAGAGTAAGCGGAAAGAAGAAAACAGAGACACGTGAGAACACGTGAGTGATGATGCACGTGAGAAAGGCAAGAGAGAGATCGAGGCTTGACATCTGCTGTTATAATTGTGGTACAAGAGGCCATACATCGAGCGAGTGCCGTAACAAACAAAAATGCTTCAATTGCCAAGGATTTAATCACATAGCTGCAGACTGTAAGGAACCGAAGAGAAGCGTTCAGCGTGGAAGAGGATATAAAGGATCTACTCGAGGAAAAAAATCTGGATGAGGACGCAAAGTTACATTAAAAACTACAGATGAGGCTGTAATGACTGTAAGAGACACAACACAAACCGTCAAGGAGGAGAAACAGTAAAGTCGAAATTTGTTTATGGCTACTAGATTCGGAGGCGACAAGTCACATCGTGAATGATGAGGCTGTGTTTGATAGTATCGAGGAGGATGAGAGGAATATTTCGTTAGCCGATAAAGAAGGTAAAAAACTAATCTCTAGTGGAAAAGGAGAGATAGTAATAAAGCAGTCATCAAATGAAGATAGAATACGACTTAAGAATGTATTATGTGTCTCAGGCATTAATGTGAATTTGATGTCAATTGCAAAGATCACTGATTATGGTTTCGTTGTGAAATTCGATAAGCATGGAGCTGTTGTTTATAGGAATGGAGGTGAAATTAAAATAAAAGCCGTAAGAGAAGAAAATGCCTATTATGTGAAGTCTTCGTGGATAAACACCAGAGCGGCGGCAGCGATGGATGATCTAGATGTCTTGCACAAATGATTAGGACATGCAAATAAGAAGACAATTAGAGATATGAAGGAAGAACTAGTGATTGGAATGAAAGGGTGCAATGTTGAGTAGAGACAGTGTGAACCGTGCGTGGAGGGAAAGATGTGCAAGAAAACGCACCCAAGACTAGAAGGGAGAGAAACAAGAAAAATAATGGATCTCTGGCATATAGACTTAATTGGGCCGATAAAACCTTTATCACGTGGAGGTAAGAGATATATTTTCACGATAATTGATGATTATTCGAGAGTGATTTTTGTAGAACTACTGAAGGAAAAGGGAGACGCAACGGATCAATTGAAGAAATTGATATTACTGAAAGAAAATCAAACTGGACAAAAATTAAAAGCTTTGAGATCGGATAACGGAGGTGAATTTGTTGGAACCGACTTAGAAGAATGGTTAATGGAGAAGGGTATCAAACATGAATTCAGTCCGTCAAGAACTCCTCAATACAATGGAGTGGTGGAAAGAGCGAATCGCTCGATAATAGAGATGACGAGGGCGATGATGTCAGATTCAAAGATGCCGCATGATTTTTGGGCCAAGACAGTATGCACAGCAGTACACATCAAAAACAGAATCAAATCAACGGTACACGGAAGGACCTCTTTCGAAGAATGGCAGAAAACCGAACGTGAAGTATTTAAGAAGATTTAGGTGTGTAGCGTACTTGCTGGACAAAGGAGAAAGAAAGAAATTTGACTCAAAAACTACTAAAGGGATATTCAGCTGGGATATGCAGCTAACCACACATATCGAGTATTCGTACCAACAACTAGAAGAATAAAAACGGATTGCGATGTAAAATTTGACGAATGCAGAATAGGATATGGAATACTGAATGAAAAAGAAAAGGGAAATCAAATGAATTGTGAAAAATTAATAATCGGTGGACTCGATGCCGGTGATGAGACTGACGAGATACATCAGGAGGAAATTGAAGATGTGGAGGATGGAAGAACGGAGACTGGAAGCACTGAATATGGAGATGCTGAAACAGAAGAATTTGATCAAGAAATACAACATGAGAATGAAGATGATCCGGAAGAAGATGAAAATATTGAAGATGTTCAAGTACAACTCACAAATGTGAGAAGCAGGGGAAGGCCGAAAGGGACTTTACGGAGGCAATAATGGAAGTTCAAAAACGAGTATTAGAAGAAGAAAGAAGACAAGAACGGGAGAACGTTAGAAGATCAGAAAGGATCAAGGGTCAACAGAAAGCAATGCTCGTCGTGGATGAAGAAATACCGAAAACTGTGGAAGAAGCCAAGAAACTGATTAATTGGAGACACTGGAAACAGGCTATGGTAGACGAATTGGTCTCAATGATGAAGCATGATGTATGGAATCTTGTGCCACGGCCAAGGGACAGGAAAGTAATCAAGAGCAAGTGGATATTTGATATTAAAGAAGATGGTACAGAACAGCGGCGATATAAAGCGCGAGTAGTTGCGTTGGGTTGTGGACAACGATCCGGTTTGGATTATAGAGAAACGTTTGCTCCTGTGGTGCGGACGGTAACGATTAGGTTATTAATTAGTATTGGAGCGCAAGAAAGGAAAAAAATTAAGAACTATAATGTCAAAAACGGCTTTCTTGTATGGATCGCTAGAAGAGACATTTTTACGGAATTGCCCGACGGATTTCAAGATGCTCAGGATCAAGCATGCAAATTGAAGAAAAGCATATATGGACTTAAACAAGCTGGAAAATGTTGGAACGATCATTTGACAAAAATTATGACGAGAAGTGAATTAACCCTTAGCTGTCCCACCTTTTGGAAAAAACATAACTGTCCCATGGGGTCTATCTGACCCCACGTCAAAAATATTGTTGTAGCTTTAAAAGTAATGATGATATTTATATAAAAAAATATTTGTTAATGTCTTGGATATTGGAGAACAAATGCTAATTGGTTTTGTAGGCAAAAACAAAAATTTTAATATAAAAAAAAATCTTGAGAAAAAAAGTTAAAAATGACTTTTTTCAGTCAAATACTCATAGCTGACTCAATTTTCATCGAAAAAAACAATGGTTCCATACTCGGGAGATATGTTGTTTAAACGTGAAATAATTTTTTTTTGGAGCTATTCAAAAAGTGTATTTATTTTAAGGTTTGAATGCTGAGAAAATTGTGTTTTTTAGGTATAACGAAAACCATTGAATTTTAATGAAAAAATGAATTTATTTCAGCATAAAAACACTTAAAAAATTACAGAATGTTTATTTTATTATAAAAAAGTAAAAGAAAAATTTAAATTACAAATTTGCGAACTATTTTACTCCTGCCTACCCCCACAATCAATGCAAAAATACATGCGATGATTATTACACATTGGACGATAACACGATAAGCATTGTATTGTCGTTTTAGTATCTTTATGTCTGGGACACAGATCACAGCGCTTACGAGAAGGTAAATTTTGATCTTCAGATGCTTCTTGCTGCAATTCATTGATCCCAAGTATCATTGCTATACCAGCTTTCAAAGACTTGCGAAATGAAACCATGCAATACCTTTCTTGAAGATAGGGCTTGACAAGAAACATTTTTAATCGAGAAAGGCACTCTTGGACAGATGTTACATTATTTTTTCCTCTTCTTACTGACTGGCATTGAGCCAAAATGCGATCATTAACGGCAGCTTAATCCAACATTCCCAGGAAAAAACGCATGGGCCAGCGTTTTGTTCTTCTGCTTATCGTGTGTGAGTGACACAACTGATCAAACGTATCAGTTCCGCCTTTTGTTGAGTTGTAATGAAGTATTATTTCTGGTTTTCCATCGACAATCTTAGTGGACGAAATATATGACGACACGAGTAAAACCACTTTATGTTTTTTTGGCGTAAAAGATACTAATGTCACTCCAGTCTTTGAATGGCAAAACTTACTTTCAGGAGGACTTTTTCCCGCAATCTTCATTTCTAAAGGAAGTTCTCTCTTATTTTTCCTAATAGTGTCTGTAATAGAGAGTTTGAATGGTTCACCTTTCATCTTTTCAATTAGAGGTACTGAGGTGAACCAGTTATCACATATAACAGTTCGTCCAGTTCCATGAATGGGTTCTGTAACTTTTCTGAAGAAATATTCAAGAATTGACTCTACTCCTTCAGTTACAGTCGTTTTGCCAATGTAAGGTATACTATTTATCTATAAAATTTCATTTGTTTTTTAATATTTATTACAAAATTTTGTTAATAATTTATTACTCAGATAAAAATATTGTATAAAATATTTTTACCTGAATTTAAAAACAAAAATTAAAAAATTACCAAATACGCAGTTTTGGCATCATTCAAAATGACAATTTTTAGCCCATATTTATCTGATTTTGATTTGATAAACATTTTGAATGAACATCGCCCTCTGAGGCCTAAAAGCTGCTCATCAACTATACAATAAGAATGTGGTTTGTAGTACTGTTGGCAATTAAAAATAAATTTGTCCCAAATTTGTCGAACTGGAGCCAGTTTATCGCTTCGATCTCTCGTTTCTTTGTCATCAAAACGTAGGCAGTTGGTAATAAAACTAAAACGTTTTTTCGGCATGACAGCCCTATAAAAAGAAACACCATTTTCAGAGCTCCAGAGCATATTGTCATCGACATTTGACGACTTCCATAGAGCCATATGGTACAAAATTGCCAAAAAAGCTTTAAATTCATTTAAATCTAGCCGATGATGCTCAGTTTCAACACTTCTTTCGTCGGCAATTCTCTGTACTATTAAATCTTCAATAATTTTATTTGTACTATCGACGATAGTATTTAAAATGCTGTCATCGAATAACAAATTACAAAAATCTTCGATGTTAGTAAGTGCGCTAGCCGCTCCGATTGGTTGTGGGATTATTATCTCCTCGGGAGGGATGAAACGATCTAGATAAAAGAAATTATAATTAGATAACAAATAAATATGAATACATATGAAATAATGAATTATATTCAAAATAATAATAAATGTTTAGCACATGTTTACACTAAATATCAAAATAAATATAGTAAAAATAACGAACACCTGAATATCAAAATAAACATAGCGAAAATAAACACCTGAAGTGCGAACAGGCAAATTCGTTGACCAAGCGTAGTTGTTTTTCCCGCGCAATTTGCTCCTTGGCCGACCACGTGCACCCGAAGACGTTGCTCGTTCAGACCTCACTCCTTCTTGCAAATCTTCTGGATCAATATGCAAAAATGAATCACTGGAAGTTTCATCCGACTCTTCCATCACCTCATAATCAGCATCATCAGAATCACTTGGCTCTCCACCAAATAAATGTTCCTCTGCATCCATTTGCAGCATCTCACCAACGAGGTTACAGTTGCATAAAATATACGACATCTTTACATACAAAAAAACTAAGTAAATTATACACCAAAAAATTCGTAATCTCAGAAATGTTTACTTACATTTTTTTCACATTTTAGTACCCAAAAACACTTTTAAAAAATCGGAGCACACACACAAAAAATTAACACACCTGTCCCACGAGGTCACAGTGACCCCACAAATTTTAACGTCGAATTTGCACGCTTGTCTACAATAGACTAAGGCAACTAAAATTATACTCATCGTTTTAATTGACAGTTAGGACCTCCAATTGACAATTGACAACAGATGGCGTCACATAGACCATTTTTAAATTTTGGGCTGATTTACAGAAATTTAAAAATCGCTGGGGTCAATTTGACCCCGGAGGGACAGCTAAGGGTTAAGACAATCAAAAGAAGATCCCTGCCTATTCTATGAAAAGAAGAAAAACAGATTTATGTATTGCGGAATACACGTGGATAACATGCTAGTTGTGTCCAGTGATGATGACTTTGAGAAGACCTATATGGATAGGATCAAGCGACATACAGACATCAAAGATCTTGGAGAGGCAACAACAATGTTAGGGATGCAGATAATTCAGGAAGAAAAAGGAATATTTGTGCATCAAAAGAAGTGCATTGAAAAACTGTTAACTCAATATGGCATGGAGAATTGCAATCCTGTTACATCACCGATTGATATTAATATAAAGATGGATGAATACGATGAGAGTAATATAATGGATATCAAGGCCTATCAAAAATTGTTCGGACAGTTGATGTATATAAGCGTCTGTACGAGACCGGACTTGTCTTTTGCGTTGAGTTGTTTATCTCAATTTAGTTGTGAGCCAAGAGTGATGCACATGACCTCGCTGAAACGGATTCTGCGTTATTTAAAGGGGACAATGGATTATCGCCTGGAATATGGAAAGAGAAGTTCGAATCAAATGGTTGAGTGTGAAACTGATGCGTCGTGGGATCGGACTAAAGACGCGAAGTCTTTCTTTGGACTGCTATTATATTGGAATGGAGACTTGAATCATTGGAGGAGAAGAAAACAATCAACAGTTGCACTGTCCACGACTGAGAGCGAAATGGGAGCTATGTTAGAAGGACTGAATGAGGTGGTATGGGCATGCAATCTGTTACAAGAGATTAAATCAACAAAAATAATATCCAAGGAGTTAAAATGCGACAATTTGAATGCGGTAAGGCTGGCTAATGGAGGTAGCTACAAAGCCAAGTCCAAACTGCTAAACCGGAAATGTCACTACATTCAGGAAGTGGTGAACGAAGAAAGTATCCAAGTTAGGCATATGTCAAACGAAGACATGACAGCTGATTGCCTGACGAAGCCACTGAGCGGACCTACTCTCCTGAACAATGTCTTAAAGTTCATGGATGCTGGAAGCCGATAAACCCAAGGGGGCGGATTGTGGAGTTGGCTTTATCGACTGATAAGAAAAGATCGACATCGGGAGATGGCGGTGGTAGCGCGAGGAGCATTGGTATCGGCAGGAACATTGGTAGCGCGGGGGTCGCGCGTTACAGAGAGGAGGGCGTCGGAGGTTACAGAGAGTCGAAGGAGACAAGAGAGCAACACACGAGGCTAGCGAAAAATTCATTGTCGAGAGAGAGAGAGCCGCTTGTATCCATACCATAATAAACAGATATTTATTTCAACCGAACAACAAGGTATAGACTATCCTGCTTTAATTCCTTAACTGAGCCATATCCACTTTCAATGTCGACATGAAGCAGTATAAACCCAGCAGTATAAAGCAAAATACTAGCAATATGTCGACACTATGGCGGCAGATTCGATCATGATTATGCAGCAAATTTTAATCAACCGTGTCCTCATTACGCTCAGTTTACTCCTCAATGTGCTGCCGCTACAGTGTGCCGGCAGAAATATAACAGAAATATATTATCCTTTGCCCTAATATTATGACTTCAAAAACGCGAAACATTCCAAGCATAGCCTGCTTTCTTCATCAGTGACGACATAAACACGGTAGAAATATATCACGATCTGTCCTCACAGTATGACAACAGAAATATAGAAGATAAACCACACAACGTGTAAACCCTAGTAGTAACAGCAGAAATTGATCATGATGTGCCGTTCGAACATAACAGCAGAAACGCGGCAGAAATGCAGTACCTAATGTAATTTTTTTTAGCAGTGTTTCACTTACGACCCAATACATTTAATTATTAATTATTTTTAATGGAGGTATTACAAAGGTCTACAATAAATATGTTGAATATGTTTACCACAAAACACAGATAACAGTAGATACAACAGAAGATAACAGTAACAAAACTGATATAATTTTCCACTCGACAATGTAAAC